TTTTTTTTTTAAGGGGGGAAAATCATCGAATGACTGCTCCCGCCTGGGTGAGGCGGGAGGGAGTGTCAGACTCTTACTGACTAAAAACCACCCCGTTCCTTCTCCTGCACGTCGAGCCGGAGCCCTGGTTACCCGTTAGGTTCTCCGCGACTACATCATGGTCTAACTATGTATGATCTTTCCGTAGATTCGAAGGTCAGCTTATACTGTTTTTTTTTTATGGAATAGGAGGCAAACGAGTACACGGATCACCTGATGGTAAGCAATCAGCGTCGCCCATGGATACCCTTAACACCAGAGAAGCCACAGGTGCGTTGCCGGCCTTTTAAAAAGGAATACGGTCTTTTCTTGAAGGTTTGAAGGTCGTATCGGTTCGGAAATACTGCCGACGACAGATCATTTCACAGTTTTGCTGTGCGAGGCAGAAAGCATCGTGAGAAGCGGACAGTTGTGGCCTGCCAACCATCTATATGATGGAGATGCATATGCTGTCGTGATCATTACCGTTTTGTGTATATGGCTTATAGCTTTTTACGTATAAAATAAATACTAATACGAATAAAAACTACAAATGTTATTGCTTTGTTTACAGTCACTTTATCACTTTATTTTCGTGTCTAACGGGGTCTTTAGTCTTCAATGACCCCGGAATAGGGGGTTATGAGACATAACATTATTATTGAACGGCTTTTATTTAGCTTGCCCCTTGTTTAGTTGAGAGAGTCAAATTTAGTAATTGGAATTTCACCCCCTTCCTGACGACAGATCAATCTGATATTTGGTACACACTCTTAATCTTGATGACTATACAATATAATCTTATTTTCTCTTCAACTGCCTCGATTATGGATATCAAACGTAAATGCTTATTGAAGCCATTTAACACAAACAATATTTAATCATATAACATAAACACAACATCACGCCTTTTATCCCAGAAGGGGTAGGCAAAGGTGCAAATTATGCCACTATACAATGTAACACCCACTTTTCACTATTTATATTATGAGTCTCACAGAATATAGAATACAATCTATATTCCGTGATGAGTCTCATGTAATAGTGGGTGAGCATATTGCCATATACCAGGCACAATTCCAGACAGTGCTACTACTGAGATTTTTTTTAAAACCCAGTAATACTTTGCCCGACCCGGGATTCGAACCCGAGACCCCATGCCCGGCAGTCGCACTTGCGACCACTCGGCCAACGAGGCAGTCCAACAGCAACAATATTTAATGTATAACTTATATTCTCATTAGACATGTAAGGTGTAACATTTGAGGTACTATTATATGTCTTTAGGAACTATTGTCGTTGGATTTTAAAATCGTCATGTTAAAGTAATTATTACATTTGTGATTGACTTACGAAAAATATTCTGTTCTAGTATTATTTGTCTATTGTATAGAAATAAGGTACAGCTTGGCAAAAAAGAGTTTGTAATAATATAGGTCGCTAGTATCGTACCGGTGGCAACCTTAGGTAACATATCGGTTTTAATATTCGTAATTATTATCAAGTTTAAAAGAGGAGGTAGGTGATTCTCCAAAAAAAAACCAAAAAATTAACGGCGTCATTAAGCTTAAGCCACAGTTAACAATTCTACTGATTAAAATATAAAGTTTAGTTTCAAAAAATTGAGCCATGTCACTGCTCTCACCCAATGCAATAAAATACAGATGCTAATAAGTTACTGCGATGCTTAACAACGCGGGAGGATAATGATTTGTTAAATAAAAGTTAAAGTTTTTTGAAGAAGCACCCAGGTACTATATTCGAATAATTGTTTATTCATGGGATGTGGTCCGAAGTGGGTGATTCAGTCCAAGACAATACTAGTTCCAGCTGTCACCGCGTCAAACTCTTTTTTGCCAAACTGTAAGGTCATTACTTTTTACACTTGGGTAGTTTCCAGGGTATCAAAATTAAAAATATAATTAGTATGTCAGCTAGATAATGAAAAAATATTAGACACGTATGTTTTTATTTTCTCGTATTAAGTTGCAATACTTAGATAAAATGGCGCTAAGTTTAGGAGTGGGAGGTCGTTACGTCATAACGTGCTACAAAATATGGCACGCTGTGACGTCACACGATATTTCAAATTAATATATCGCCGAAAGTATTTAATTTTGTGAGAACAAAAAACACGTGTCTAAAGTTTTAAATCAATGTACCAGACGGACATTAAAATAAAATTTAGGGAACTACGCTATTATATTAGGGCCAAAAAACATATTATTCTAATAAGGTAAGACGTTGAAAAATAGAGGGACCTAATGTCACTTAGAAATGATTGAAGCACCATAATGTCAGTACGTTATTTATGTATGCGTGTACTTGCAACACCGTAATGTATGAAGTGTAATGATGGCCCATGTGACGCGACAGATGTACTTCGTGTCGATGTGTGTGTATTCTGCGTGTAAGTGTATAGTAGCCAGGTGCCACAGTCGTTGTTTCAAGAGACTGTCCGTCGTTTCTTCAACGTCTTTATATTAGGGATAATTAAAGAAGGACGATTTTGAGGATGGGTTTTTTTTTTAAGGGGGGAAAATCATCGAATGATTTTCCCCCCTTTATCGGGGTATATTCCTAATAGGGGTCATAATATAAATTTTACAAAAACAAATAATTAAGTAACATAATAATTTCATTTATAATTCATATAAATTCACATAGCACAATATATTTCAAGTGTATAAAAACATTGTATACCTATTATACATATTATACTCTTTTTATAGCATTAGACATTTAATATAACATATGTATATTTGAGCTACATTTCATTAATGTATAACTATTATTTTAAAATAAACTATAATAATATGATACACTGTGTCATCTTTAAAAAACCTCGGTAGATATTTATAAAAAAAAAGATTTTAGGTACAATAAACTGAACATAGACCCCATAGTGACTTATGGGGGTCAAACGACATGCTTCGATTTTTAGCTATTGCACTTCACAACCTCGACCTTTATTATATGTAATAAAACACTAACTTTTCACCAGTTACGGTATGAGTCCTATGAACAAACTACAATTCTCGGCGATACATATTGCACATTGATCTTCCGAACAAGTCGCCGCGCATACAGCTCATAATAGGGATGATGACAAGGTATGAAAATTAAAAATCTAATTAGTCCGTAAGTTAGGTAATAAAAAATATTAGACACGTGTTTTTTTATTTTGTCGTAAGTATAATAAAACAATACTTAGATAAAACGAATCAAAGTTTAGGAGTGGGGGCTAAAACGTCATTTCTACGTATACAATATACATAGAAGTGACATCACGCGTCATTTCAAATCAATATATCGTCGAAAGTATTCGTTTCTATAAGAAAATAAAAAATACGTGTGTAATGATTTAAAATAATCTACCAGACGGACATAAAATAAAAATTAGGCAATAACCCTTTTCAAGTTAAATATATATGTCAAGTTAAATCTAGTCGGACACTGTCATCGAATCATGAAGCTTACTAATATTATAAACGAGAATGTTTTTATATTTTCTTTACTCTATCACTTCAAAGCGGCTGAAAGGATCGGGATATTTGGAACAGGAATGGTCTGGAATACCACATAGGCAACGAGGAAAAGCGGGCAGAAGTAAGTAGAATGGTAAAAAAGTAATATATTAAAGATATTACACTAAAATGTTTTCCAAAAGTTGATATGCGTAAATTAGCGCCGGGTACTACAATATTCTACGTCTGTCTTTTATGGAATAAGCCGGTAAACGAGCAGACGGATCACCTGATGGTAAGCAATCGGCGTCGCTCATGAACACACGAAACATCAGACGCATTACAAGTGCGTGCCGGCCTTTTGGGAATTAAGAAATTGAGGATCGTTGGGGAGATTGGGGAGGTGGGTAATTCGGCTATTGAGACTATTTATATATAGATTTTTTTTTTTTTTTATTTTTTTTTTTTTTTTTTTTTTTTCTTAAAAAAAAAAAAAATCTATATAAAAAAAAAAAATCTATATATAAATAGTCTCAATAGCCGAATTACCCACCTCCCCAATCTCCCCAACGATCCTAAAACTATTGTCAGAAAACCACATGTCTAATGCCATAAAAGAACGGAACAGTACATTTATCAATATTTCATTTACAATTTGGCCTTAGTCAATAGCCTGTTAGCTTCCCTGAATCCTGTGTCAGTTGCTCCGTGAACCGTCGAGAAATGAGTGTTATCAGTTGCTTCGCCTGCGAACAGGACTCTCGGGGCTCCACTGCTGTCTACAAGGGGCTCCGCCAAAGTAGCCCTTGCGTGGGGGTATTGTGGTGTGGAGAGGTTGTCGTACGTGTAGCTACCTCGAGTGTAGGGATTTGAGTACCATGACGAGCTGTGAAGGGATGTTCAGAGGTTAGATTTTTTGATGGCAATTAGATTAGATTTTTCAACGTGTTATACTGGTAGTCTTTGTTTGAGAATATTGGTTATAGGTTTTTTTACTAAAGCGAATGCAATTTCTGTTCTTAATGGCACGACGCTTTTACCTTGTAAGCGCTTAAAATATCGTACACATATTTCATAAATGAATAAGGGACAGATATCATTGGATAAGTAAACTGACTAAGCAGAATGTACACTGGGGGAAAGATACGAAATTTTATTGCCTGAACTCGGTTTCAATCAGTCATGGGGCGGAGATAGAGAGCGGATCTCATCACGTGCAAGCAAACATTTACTTAATGGTGGTCAGGCGGATGTGCCCCTATATTCCATATTGTACTTATACATAAATCAATTGCGGATTGAAGATAAGAATTCCATTTATGCTATTTTTAACCGACTTCAAAGGTTAAAAATTCGAGGTTCTCAATTCGACCGTATATATGCTTTTTTTGCTAAACCATGATTGACAAAGTAATCGAACCCAGAGTCCAGTTTGGAGGGGTGCGGTGCCAGAAGACCTCCCCGTGGTGCACCCTGGGTACAGGTGATAGTCTCCCTAACGGAGGTGATAGGGTTCGAGTGAGTATTGCCTGTAGCTAACTTCTGGACAGGGCGGAAGAACGCGGGATGGGTTCTGGAGGCGGCGGGCTTTGTGCAGACACATAGCCTACGCTTCCGAGGGGTCGCCTTTCTGCCTGTCTCTCTGAACATAGCAGAGAACGGAGAGGCAAGGGCGAGCAGCATCGGGACACGTGTGTCCTCGACTGCGACCGTCGAAATCGTAACCCGGGAAGAGATCACGGTCATGTCTCGTGACTTAGACCGGAACGAGGGTCTTGGCTCGGTTGCCCGGACCGTGAGGAAGATAACCTCTATAAAAAATTCCTCCAATACCAAGTTCCGGTGCGCGGCGAGGGTATGCATGGCTGAGGAGTAGTGTCAGTCGTGAGCGCCACTCGTCTAACGAGGTAGTCAACTATTAACCATTAGAATGCCACATCAGTCACCGGTGCCTGACTCTAGTAAACGTTTGACTTACACCATTTTATACTTTGCAGTTAAAGGGTTAATTACAGTGGCGTGCAGTCCATATAGGCAAAAAGGCTTTGCTTGACATAAAATGTACAAACGCGTTTATTAAGATTCAATAATAAAATAAAAGTTTGTAAAAAAACGGCTAACATAAATATACATTCACATATACTATACACGGACCGCACGCCTTTGTAAAGCAATGAATGCGCCCCGCACGCACCACGCATGCGCTACTATTCCTTAAATCTTGGTTGTTGGTTGTGACGTCACAAAAAGTATGCAACGCGCATGCGTGAAGGTCACGTGACTATGGTCACAGCAGAGAATAACCATTCATAAACGCAAAAAAGTCATTGCTGCCGGCCTTTGAAATTTATGAATCTGCGCCATCTATTGAATTTTTTGTTAAAACTTCTGAACACGTTCGATATAATGCGAATGTCTTTTTATAATTATGCATACTAAAAAAATATGTTTCAGGTATTTTAATTAAATCTTAACATTTTTACGCGTTGTCGGTTTACAGAAACTTTAAACGAGGAGTTGACTTTATTATTTTAAAAGTAAAAAGGAATAACTTTTGAGTAGCGGCAACTTGACGTTTTGATAACTCAAAGTTTCAAATTGTTATCAACGAATGTTTCTTATTGGAAAATAATAATAAGACAATGACGGAACTCCATTTGACTTATGTAAATTAACGTTTTGTTTTTTTATAATTAAACACTGGGTTGCCTTAATGTTATAGCTATAATTTTTTTATAATAAACACTCAATTGACTACGATGGGTTCATTCATTCCAATGTTTTCGGCCATATTGTTTTCATGTGATGTGCGATCGCTTTGTTTATGTTTTCGTTTAAATTATAAGGAATTAGTTTTAAACATAAAGTTGCATAAATATGTGTAGAAGTAGTTAAATGTATGTGTAGGTTTTTCAAATAGTGTATTTGTTTATCAGTGTCTAGTACAAGTACCTATATTATTCGATTGTGAAGTTTGTGTTGATAATAGATAATTTTTTGTGTTTGTTGAAAGTTAAAAACAGTAAGTTTTCGCAAAAATGTGTCCTACAACGACTAGATTCAGGTAATGACCATAGGCAGTACTCAAGTTACGAGAATTGACCCAAGTCAAAGGTAGGTAATGTAAATATTATGTACTTTAATGGATCTTTTATTGATTTTCTTGTTTGATAATTCTTAAAAATATCAACTTAGACTTCGGGTTGTACTGATTTACATATTAATTTATTATTAATAATTATGTAATGTAATAACAAATGTACCGCTTATAAATACTCGGCTCGGCCACAGCCGGCCGCGCTTGTTATTGTTTTGTTTGTTGGTAGGTACCTACGTTCTTAAATTCGTAATATAATATAATATAATATTATTATGATTTTGAATAGATTATCTAGCAATTCGATAATTGAATTTGGTTCATCAAATTTATGCTTCATTATTAGTATAATTAATAGATGTTCAATTATTTGTAAGTTTTGTTGGCTTATTCCATAGCTGATGAAGTAGTTCACAAAAAATACGCGAGATGTCAGTGTATGTAATTTGGCGACAGAATAAACCACAATATTCTTGAACGCACTTTTCAAAATGTATTCTGTACATGTAGGTACCTGTCTTGTGTGAGTATGATTGTCATTGTATGACCGGGGGGGAGGGGTTTAATCATACGATATTTAATTGCCTACCCTGTCTAGAAAACCTGTGCACGCCACTGGTTAATTATTACACTGAGTCCTACTCACCGTAACATCGCTATAGGTTCCGGAATAGTCCTGTTCTTTCCCATGAATCGTCTGATCAATTCCATAGCTTTCCTCTTTACTACGTCTTCGGGTAAAGTTTCAACCTGAAATATAGTTCCATTGCTGTACAATATTCATTCTCTAAAACTAATTTAGATCACATAGCGTAGCGTATTTGAATATTAAAAACAGTCTATTTTCGTATATATTTAGGTTAAATTTGATGTAGAAATAAAATGTTTTTTAAACAAACAAGAATAATAATTAGTGCAAGATTACGTCTCTATAAATAATAAGAGACCAATAAAATCAAATACGCTAAAGCAAATACAATTCAATTTAAAAATGTGAAATGTGAGTAAAACCGAATGTTATCTTATGTACAGCTTGGCAAAATGAGTTTGTAATAATAGAGGTCGCTAGTATCGTACCTGTGGCAACCTGGTACACTATGGCTCAACCGGTTTTGATATTTTTATCGAGTTCAAAAAGAGGAGGTACTGTGTTCGGATGATTGTTTATTCATGGGATGTGGTCAGAAGTGGGTGATTCAGTCCAAGTCTATATTAGTTCCAGCTACCGCGTCAAACTTCTTTTTGCCAAGCTGTACATGCATAGTTGATATAGAAGCATGTATGTATTTTGAGATATATTAGTAATTTGATCATGTCAATATGTATCCCTGAGCTTTTATAATGCATTCATATCCATTTCGACGTTCCATGAGCAATCTAATAATTCTGTGATAAATATCGTAAAGTTCTTATTAAACAACATAATATCCAAGATATTTCGTAATAGAATAAGATTAGAATTTGTATATTAGACATATCAACAGCCTATAAGTAGCCACTGCTGACCAAAGGGCCCTTCTCACACGGACCAGGTTTAGTTAATCATCACGCTTGGTCAATGCGAGTTGGCAATTTAAAACTTATAATGAACAATTATAAGCTTTCCTTACGATATTTTCCTTCACCGGTCCAATAGTCTTAGAACGTACATATAACTCGGAAAAGTTACATTGGTACTTGCCGTTAATAGGTTTCGAGCCCGCGATGATGCGCGATGATGCGCGATGCATGAGAAACGGGCGTCTTAAACCTCCGGACCACCACGAAATATCGCTACTGTACATCGATGAGTAGTGTTATAAAGAAAAAATATACACAAAGATGTTTATATTTAATTTTTTAATGAGGTTAATAAAATATCTTGAATATTTATGTCGTTTAACAGATAAATCACAAACAAATACTTAAACACAACTTATGTCTAGTCAAATTCATTTAACTCGGTTCGGCGATTCTAGTATTGAGGATCTTGGTTCTGCATCTAGCACCAGATCCTTGCCGAAATAAATATCAGAATACTTTACAAAATTTATAGAGAAGTTCTTTTCATAAGATACACAATGTCTGTATTTTTATGATTCAGTAGACTATTCTGTAACTTTCAATTCAAAAGATCGAAGTGAACTCGATCACGGTCCGCCATGTCGTTGTTTGTGAGAATAATATCGACCAATGACAGGCGAGAATGCAATCGAGCTCACTTTGGAAGTTCGAATTGATATCATGCAGCATAGACCAGCTGGAGGCAAATCAGCAGACGAATCGTCTGATGGCCACCGATAAACACAGCGACACTAGAAGACTTGCACCTCAAGTTGTGTTTAAGTACCTCAATAAAATAACATGCAATAGTTACTAACCAGCTTGGCGCCCTCCCCGCTAGTCCATAACGTCAATGCTGTCGACGACCCCAAAGGCGTGCTGACCCCAAATATCTTAGTAATCCAACTATCGTCTTTAGAGACGGTCGCTCTATCAGCACCGTTCCAAACGAATCCATGAAATGTCTCCGTATCCGGCCACCAAGGTTTAGGAAATAGAAAAACGACCTTATCCACCACACCTATGCCTAAATTTTGAATTACTTCGGTTTTCTCTTTCGGTAAACTTGGTGAAAATAGCGATGAATGCCTGCAATGTAATGGTTCATGCATAATTTGTTGTGATTCTTGGTGCTAGATGGACGAAAGGGTTCCCACAAGAATAGAACCGTGGAATGCTCCGGAGAGCATAGTACGGGTATGTACGGGTACGAATTCAGTGCTCTGATTGGCCGGCTCCTATGAACCGACATATCAGTAGGTTAAAAGCGGTAACGTTTCGATCTTCTTAAACGTAAAACACACTCGTTCTTTGCCCTTAGTTATATCTTTTGGAAAACTTCCTTTTTTTTCATTACAAATAGGTTATCAAAAAGCATTTTATGTGGCAATTTGTTCTTATTATTTGCTTGTTAACATGACTAAGTATAAATATCTTTTAAGCGTGGTGTATTTCGATAAGTGTCTAACTTCTTAAGCCCCTTACGCACTACCGGTTGACCCTTTCGGCGGTTCGTATCGACAGACGCGGTTGCATATTAAAAAGCGCGGTCAACCGCAGGCAGTGGCTTAGGCTGTAACCACACGGGCGGCGCCTAAGCGGTGCCGCTGCGGTTTTCTACATACAAAAATGCATTATAGCCACATGGCACCGTGCGGTGTGCTCCGGCGCCGCGCCGCTCGCGCATCGGAATCGAGACGAGGCGGGGAGGGGTGTAAGCAGAGCGGAGCCGGAGCGGCACCGCTCGCAGTTGTTTGTTTGCGCAGCATAGGGCAGGAGGTAGGAAGGATGGATTAAGCCACATGCCGCTGCGGCGCCGCTGCGTCTTGGTAGAACGTTGCGACGCCGCTTTGCCCGTGTAGTCGCCAGCGCGGCGAAATGTCTTGCGCTGCGGCGCCGCACCGCCCGTGTGGTTTGCTTCTTACGCGGTTAGTGCGGAAGGGAGCTTAGTGTTGTTTTCTTTAATTCAAAAAGATATTCATACCAAAGTCACGTTCGTTTTCAACCATTTTTCAAATATATTATTTTTCCAGACACAATATTCTTTACGCCAAAATATAATATAAGTAATGATTTTCCTTGAACTTGCCATGATGCATAAATGCAGTTGCCATTTTGTAAAATCAAAGTCACAGACATGCAATGGTCCTCAAATGAGATTCAGTGTTTTTTTTTTGTTGACCCCAGTTAGGCACAAACGTAGACCCCTATTAGTCCTATTAAGAATCCTTACTAATCCTTACTAATATTATAAATTGAAAAGTGAGTTTGTTTATTCCGCTTTCACGCCGTAACTACTAAACCGATTGCTTTGAATTTTTGCAGATGTACAATTAGAAGTCTGGTTTAAATAATAGGGTACTTTTTATCCCGGGAATGATGATTGATATTCTCGAGGGAAAATGAAATTATTGGTATAGATGGCGCTGTGTGTATGTGTCATATAAGCTACTTTTTATCCAAAATTTTTCAAATTTTATTGGCGGCAAAATACAAACTTAGATAAAAGTATTAGACTTGACTAATTCGTTCAAATAATAAATCTGAGAAGGAGTATTTTTAATTAACCTACATGATACGTATTATCATATGATGCAAAAAAAATAGACGTAATTGTAGGTGTTAGTAGGTAGTAGAAACGATATAACTTGAGATAAGTGCAGTCCCGACATTTATAACGACATAGTTAACGACAAACTGGAACAATATTTGTAACGAACATAACTGTCATGCAAACTGTCACAGATAAAATATCCCTCCTATCATTTATTTTGTTATTGAAACAACCGTTATCTTGGAATGCGAGTTAAATTACTTACCAGTTTTGCCATGTCGCCTATGGTCCAAAGGGTTAGACCAGCGGGATTACCCATGGGTGAACTAGCCGCCGCGATATTTGGCCACCAGACCTCATCTGGTCCTAACGCCTGCCTATCTTCATTCCTCCATAAAAACGTGAACGAAGACACGTTTTCCGCAACCCAACGGTTCTCAAAAAGAAATATAACCTTCCCTACAACTCCCATAGATACTTTTTGTATTGAAGTCACTTTTCCTTGAGGTAGAGCTGGCGAGAAGAGGTGCGAGTGTCTATAAAGAGTAGAATTAAAAGGTCTAGTTTTAATATAATTGCCTTCACTTTGAGGGAGGAATGTGGCCAGGAGAGGAAAATGTTTACGTTTAATTTTTTACACCTACGAGTAACAGACATTGCCCTCTTCGAGTTTTCCGAAATCAATCATGTTCGAAATACCCCAGAACAAATTAAAAACGAATTAAAGACGCTACTTTTTGTAGTTATTATACACTACTCTCGCCTCAATCTTAGCCATTTCTTTTCTATTAATGATTTTTTTTCTACTGTTAAAATATAATGAGCCAGCCTTTTTATTAAGTGGGAAAAAATAATTGAATTACTTCTCCCACTTAAGTGAGGCAGGAGAGAGTGTCAGACTCTTACTGACTTAAAAACAACCCCGATCCTACTCCTGCACTTCGAGCCGGAGGTCCGGCTACTTTATACGTTCTACGCGGCTCTGGACCTTCCAACTTCCAACCTATGACATTACTCCTAGAGAAGTATATTTATTATTTTATTAACAATGTAGGTACTTATTAGTAAAAATATGATATAACGAACAGTAAGTAGCTATTATTTCATGAAAGAACAGGGTTAATCATTAGTATTTAGTAATTTATGGGACATTTATGTTCTGTCAACTGTTTATTTTTAGGTTATGTGATTTGCCAAGAATTGCGTTTCTTTCGTTTATTACATTGCATCGTCCCATAATGGTCATGAACTGCAAAAATAACATTTTACTAACAAAATTGCCAATTTGCTCCCATTAGTTAAAATACCCACCACTTTGGCTCTGTTGCCTGTAGTCCATAAAGTAATACCATTACTAAATCCCATAGGCTTCGAACCTTCAATTACTTGGGTCATCCACATATCCTCGACACTTATATTGTCTTTCTCAACCCCCCTCCATAGATAAAACGGCCAGTTCGGTCGCATATACCAAGGGGAGTCAAATAACAAGATGATTTTCCCTTCAACCCCTACAGATATTGTTTGAATCGATGTGATTTTGTCTTGGGGTAACGTAGGGACGAATAATGTTGTATATCTAAAACAAATGGACGTTTAACTGATTTTATAAGATATTTTTCAGTTAATTATTTCGTGGTGTTGTACTTGTCAGTCAAGGGGCACGCAGACGTTAAGCTCCATAGGAAAATATCGCTGAACGACGCTAGCAGAGGATTTGTCTTCAACTCAACAGATTTTTGTTGGCAGTCTCTCTAAACTGGCAACTCCTATCGTCGTACCCAGAGTCATTTAATGTCCACCTAACCCAGTTCTTTCCTTTTTTGTTAAGGCTGCGACCGCGCACGCTGCTCATGAGGAAGAACCCTTCTGTGGTTCGAAACTAGTATAGCTTGTCTCAGTATTTTCAAGTCAGTAACCCGCGACTTTTTAATTAATTTTGGTTATAAATAATTCAAGATTCTTGTTATATTTACATCCATAGTTCTGCGTATATAAAATTCATTTTGCGATGAATGGATATTATGTATATCCATTCACCGTGTTGCGTCGAGATACTTTACCCTTTAAAAAATAAAATAGCAACGCTCGACAGTGGTCGAATCTTTTTAAAAGGGGTATAAAAATTGAAAACCGATTTAGTCCGTCAGTTGTAGACAAATATTTATTATTCTGTCTTATAACTAAATAAAACGAATCAACGTTTAGAAGAGCGAGCTAGCTACATCATTTCTAAGTTTAAAACGTACCTAGAAACGACGTCACGCAATATTTCAAATTAATACATCATCGAAAGTATTTGTTTTAAAATAACCTACCAAACGGTCATTAAAACGAAAATCAATCATCTACCCTATTGTCATGCTTTTTTCCCCGCCAATTTATGATCGTTTAAATACCGAATGAGTTGACCCATGGCTTTATGGAACATTCAAAGTAAGATTTATTTTGATTTTAGAAAATGGGGGCTAACGTTATTGCTCACCGGATGGCGTAAAAGTCAGAAGTTTTTGTCCAATCACAACAGCCGTAAAATTTTAAACGTCCAACAGTGACAATAACTCATTGTCTACTAGACGAATAACGCGAGGTTTATATTAGTACCATCCAGTGAGCAAGAATACGCTAAGACCCATTGATATTTGACAAAATACCTACCACTTTAGCCGTGTCGCCCGAAGCCCACAGAGTCATACCATTACTAAATCCCATTGGTTTAGAACTTTCAACAACTTTGGTTACCCAACCATCTTCTATGCTAATAATTTCTTTTTCGACCCCTCTCCATAAATATTCCGGCCAGTTCGGTTCCGAATACCAAGGCGTGTCAAATAATAAAATTATTTTTGCTACTACGCCTATTGATATTGTGTGAATTGGCGTGATCTTGTCTTGAGGTAAAGAAGGGACGAAAAAGGTTGTATATCTAAAACAAATGTGTAGAGAACCAATGAAGTGATTAGTTTTAGCATTCACGTTAAGTCGAACACGCAGGACGTCGGTTAAAACTCGGCTTTAACCATTACCTTCATTGGAATTCTGTAAAATACCAATTCGATGAGGAGCTTTCACAAGCGAAAGAACTCATTTCGAAAGTAAACACACTTGAATTAAATTTCGTATTCTGACCTCATAAACGAGACCTCGTTCGGCGCTCTGATTGGCCGGCTCCAATAAACCAACCAATCAGAGCGCAGAATGAGGTCTCGTTTCGATTACTTTAAACGGAAGACAAACTCATACTAAGGCCTCTGTAAACAATTTGTACAAATTATCGAAACGAAGTGCGACTGGAAACTGAGGGCTTAATATGAATTTGTTTTACGATTAACGAGACCGCGTTCGGCGCTCTGATTTAGCGGTTCCAATGAAGCAATAAATCAGAGCGCAGAATACATTTCGATTGCGTAAACGTAAAAGAAACTCGTACTAGGCCCTCAGGTGTTAAAAAATCGGAATGCTGGTTAGTGTAAGGACAAAAGATAGGAGAATCAATATAGGGGCTATGTTGTATATTTAAGACCGTTTTCTTCAT